TTTAGTAGAGACAGGGTTTCACCGTGTTGACCAGGATGGTCTCGATCTCTTGACCTCGTGATCCACCCGCCTCGGCCTCCCAAAGTGCTGGGATTACAGGCGTGAGCCACCACGCCCGGCCAAGAGTTCACATTCTTAAGGAGAGGAAAGACATGCAGACAGATGTAACACAAAGTGGAAAGTGGCCACAGAGAAGGGCAGAGAGAGGGCATGCTCAGGGGGATTTGGATGAGGGAGAGAGTCCATGAGAACTTAAAGGGGAAGAGGAAGCTCACAAACCTGAGCTCTAGGCACATCACCCGTTCTGGTAAGAATCGAGAAAGGCCTATGGTGATTGCTATGGTCTGAATGTTGGCATCCCTTGAAATTCTTGTGTTGCAAATTAACCCCCAAGGTGATGGTATTAAGAGGTGGGTCTTTGGGAGGTAATTAGGTCATGAGGGCTCTGCCCTCATGGATAGAATTAGCGTCCTTATAAAAAGGCTGGAGGGAGCATATTTTCCTTTTCCATCCTTTTGACATGCAAGGACACAGCAAAAGGCACCATCTGTGAGGAATGGACACTCACCAGACATTGAATCTCCAGTGCCTTGATCTTGGACTTCCAGCTTCCAAAATTGTGCGTAATTTTCTATTGTTTATCAATGACCCAGTCTAAGATATTTTGTTACAGCAGCCTGGACAGACTAAGACAATGACCTTCTGTGCCTGGTGAAACCTAACCAGACAATGGGCTTCCGGGGCTTCTTTATATGGGTGAGCATCCCCCATCCCAGCTTGCTAGCTGATGATACATACTTTGCTCATTTGCAGCCAGCATTTCTCCAGCACATTCCCCTGTGTTTCAGAGAGCTGCAAGGCTGTGTTCAGAAAGAGGCAACAGTTCTGCCTGTCTCCCATTAATATACAGACGTAAGCCATCAGGTGGTAGAGCCTTGGGTAAAAGACAGGACCAGTGATATTTTGACCCACCAGATTCTTCAAGTTCTAAAGAAAAAAAACACAACAGTATATTAGAATCAAACAGGGTCCTTGACTGTAAGTTATTTCCTTCACAGATGATTTGGGAAGATTTCAAGGATTTAAGCAATCAAGTGAGAAAATACATTATAGAGACATACATAGTAGGTATTGGAGATAATAAATGTCAGCTGGAGTAGCCCCCATGGCCCACTGAGATCAGGAATTGACATGAGAGATCCCATCATTGCTTCTCTGCAATAACTTTAAAAAAAAATTATTTTGATGGCCGGGAATGGTGGCTCATGCCTATAATCTCAGCACTTTGGGAGGCCAAGGCGGGTGGATCACCTGAGGTCAGGAGTTCGAGACAAGCCTGACCATCATGGCAAAACCCCATCTCTACTAAATATACAAAAATTAGCTGGTTGTGGTGGTGCACACCTGTAATCCCAGCTACTTGGGAGGCTGAGGCAGGAGAATTGCTTGAACCTGGGAGGCAGAGGTTGCAGTTAGCCAAGATTGTGCCACTGCAATCCAGCCTGGGTGACAGAGTGAGACTCCATCTCAAAGAAAAAGATAATAATTTTGATGATTATGATTATTAAAGCAGTACAAGTTAATTGTTGAAAAATTAGGGAAAAAATTGGCCACTTCTGCATGTAAGGAGCTTGGAAGGAACCACTTAGTCCTAGAATCAAGTAAAAAGCTGAACGGACTGAAAGATCAACAAATATTCTTGGATCCATAAGGGAAGTGAGAAGACGGGCAAACTGCTGATCCAAAGACTGTAGAGACAAACAGAGATTCACAAGTGGAAACCACTGTGGGAATCAGTGCCAGGCTAGGAAAACCTGAACTGTGATTGATGAATTGCTACAAACTCAGAGTGGACAGGTCTGGGAGTTAAAAACTCTATGGAGAAGAGGATTCAGGAAAGATGGCAGATAGGAAGTACCAGCTATCTGTATCCCCACCTAGACTATCATTACACTGGCAGAATCCGTCAGAATGTAACTATGCTAGAACTCTGGAGTCTGCTGAAGACTTGTAAATAAATGCCAGGCGAAGGCCTGGATGGTAAACTGAGGTTAATTTCAGTTTCAGCTCTTAGCACAGCTGCCTGTCCCCCCACCTCAAAACCTGTGGCAGACAGTTGTGCACATGTTCCTGAAGAACCCGCACACAACTTGTGGGAACAAGTTTGGGCAAAAAGAACCCTGTGTGAGATATCAGGGATTGGTGCTCTGATCACCAATTGCTGCTTCTGATGGAAGAGGTAGAGACAAGGAGGTAGGCAGCCATTGTTGCACTTCTCCCCACCATTGCAAGCCCTTCCCTCTCCAGTTGAAGTGACTTCCAGGGGATTTAAAGGGCTATTGCCCTTCCCCCCGGCCATGAACTTTATTTTTCTCTCCACCCCAAAAAGAAATTCTGGAGGTGAAAAGTACAAAAACTAAAACTGAAAAATCACTAGAGGGATTCAAAGGCAGAGTTAAACAGGCAGCAAACTTGAAGGTATGACAATGGAAATTATTGAATCTGAGGAACAGAAAGAAAAAAGATTGAAGAAAAGTTAGCAGAGTCTAAGGGACTTGTGGAACACCAACAAGTGAACCAATAAATGCATTGTGGTAGTCCTTGAAGAAGAAGAGAGAGAAAGAGCTAGAAAGAATATTTGAAGAAATAATGGTTGAAAACTTACCAAATTTGGTAAAAGATATAAACACCCCAAAAGCTAAACAAACTCCAAGTAAGATAAACTTGAAGAGATCCATACTAAGGCACATTATAATCACTTTTGAAAGCAAAAGACATGAAATCTTGAAAGCAGTGAGAGAAGCAACAAATCACATACAAGGCATCTTCAATAACATTACCAGCAGGTTCCTCATCAGAAAATTTAGGGGTCAGAAGGCAAGTGTGCCAATATATTCAAAGTGTTAAAAGAAAAAATCCCATCAACCAAGAGTCTTCTATCTAGCAAAAGAGTCCTTCAAAGATGAGGGAGAAATTACTAGCTCAAAAGCTAGTATTACTGTAACTGTGGGTTGTGACTCCACATTTTGTTTTCTACATAGTTCAAGAAACTAATCATTTAAAATAATTATTCATTTATGTTTTGGGACACACAATGTATAAAAATGTAATTTTGTGACATCAACAACCAAAAGGGGTGGGAAGCTATTAAAGGAGCACAGTTATGTGTGTGTTACTGAAGTTAACTTTAGGACGCTAAATGTAATCCTCATGGTAACCATAAGGAAAATAGCTATAGAATATATACAAAAGAAAATGGGGAAATAACTTAAATGTTTCACTATGAAAAATTAAATGCAAAGAAGATAGTAGTTCAGGAAATGAAGAACAAAAAAGCTGGAAGGCATATTGAAAACAAATGGCAAAATGATACAAGCAGTTCTCTCTTTATCAGTAATTACTTTAAATGTAATTGAATTAAACTCTCAAAAATAAAACCAAATTGGCAGAATGGATTTTTAATAAAACATGATCTAATTACATACTAAAAGAGACTCACTTTAGATCCAAAGACACAAATAGATGGACAGTGAAAAGACAGAAAAAGATATTTCATACAAATAGTAACCCAAAGAGAATAAGAGTGGCTATAAAGGTCAGACAAAATAAACTTTAAATCAGAAAAAACCCTACAAGAAGCAAACAATATTATATATTAATAAAAGTTCTAATACAGCAAAAAGATATAACAACTATAAACATTTATGCATCTAATAAGATCATCAATATATATGAAGCAGAAACTGACAAAATTGAAGGTAGAAATAGACTGTTCTATAATAGCTCTATTATGTGGTAGAAATAGTTCTATAATAGTTCTATAATAGAACTATTCTATGATAGTTGGAGGCTTCACTAACAATAATGGATAGAACAATTTTACAAAAGATAAGATATAGTGGTCTTAGACAACACAATAAACCAACTAGATCTAACAAACATACAATTAATGGGTATAGAGTTTTTATTTTACAAGATGAAGACAGTTACGGAGATGGAGGGCAGAGATAGATACACATTATAAATGTATTTAATACCACTGAACTGCATACTTACACATGATGAAGATGTTAAGTTTTATCCTGTGTGTATTTGGATGACAATAAAAAAAATTAGGCTGGGAGCCGTGGCTCACGCCTGTAATCCCAACACTTTGGGAGGCCGAGGTGAGCAGACCACTGATGTCAAGAGTTCAAGACCAGCCTGGCCAACGTGGTGAAACCCCATCCATCTCTACAAAAATACAAAAATTAGCCAGTCATGATAGCAGGTGCCTATAATCCCAGCTATTTAGGAGGCTGAGGCACGAGAATCACTTGAACCTATGAGTTGGAGGTTGCAGTGAGCCAAAATAGTGCCATTGCACTCCAGCCTGGGCAGCAGAGCAAGACTCTGTCTCAAAAAAAAAAAAAATTAGACATAAAAAATCCCAAACACCTTCAGGTGAGCCCCCACAGTTTTGTGTGTTTTACCTCCAGAAGCTCAACCAGGATCTCTCAGTAAATATAAGAAGAAAAAAAAAAAAATCCCTCATTCTTTCAGCAGAGGAGGAGGAAAAGGAACCATTTTGAAATATGCCAGAATACTCCATTCTTCTTAACGAGGTTTGCCCTCGGGAGAAACTATGTAACCAGAGCCTAACCTCCAGGGGTTTTAATAGATCCTAACCTATCTTGGGGGAGATGAATATCCAACTAAAGCCAGATCTAGCCATTGGGTCCCACCTAAGGAAGAGGGGAATGAAAAGCCCTTGTGAAGTTCTTAGTCCAGAGGAATAGGCTCACTAAAAGACTGAGAATGTGTTCCCTCTCCTCACACCTTACCATCACATTACTAAAGACCTATTGAGACAAAGACTTTTTATCTGGTACATCATGTCTGGCTATTAAGAAAAATTACAAGGCATACCAGGTAGAGATTGCAGTGGGCCAAGCTCGCACCACTGCATTCCAGCCTGGGTGACAGAGGGAGACTCCATTTCAAAGAAAAAGAAAAAAAATTTTGAATGAAGCCCAAGGGGCTTCTAGAGAGCAATAATAAAAAAAAAGTGTGTTTCACTTTTCCTCAGAAACCATGCAGGCAAGAAGCCAGTGCCATGACATGTTGATAGGAAAAAAATCCCTAGAATTCTTTACTCAGTGAAATTATCCTTCAAAATTGAAGACAAAATAAAGACTTCTCAGACAAACCAAAATTGAAAGAAGTTGTTGCTAATAGCCTTGACTTGCAAAAAATGTTAAATTCTTTAGAGAGAAGGAAAATATATAGGTCAGAAACTTAGATCTACATAAAAAGCATTGAAGAAGGAGTAAGTGGAGGTAAAATAAAAATTTTCCTTTTCTTATTCCAACAGATGACAGTTTGTTCAAAATAACAACTGCAACAATGTATTAAATTATTTCTGCTTACGTAAATATATCTCCTAAGCGGAGATACCAGACCACTGAGGCTTTGGACCTCCCAAACTGCGAGTTACAAAGTGGGTGTTGTTTTGGGCCCGACACGGTGGCTCACACCTGTAATCCCAGCACTTTGGGAGGCTGAGATGGGTGGATCACTTGAGGTCAGGAGTTCAAAACCAATCTGGCTAACATGGTGAAACCCCATCTCTACTAAAAATACAAAAATTAGCCAGTCATGGTGGCGCTTGCCTATAATCCCAGCTACTTGGGAGGCTGAGACATGAGAATTGCTTGAGCCTGGGAGGCGGAGGTTGCAGTAAGCAGAGATTGTACCACTGCACTCCAGCCTGGGTGACAAAGCAAGACTCTGTCAAGAAGTGGGTGTTGTTTTAAGCTGTTAACTTTGTGGTAATGAGTGACAGAGCAATAGAAAGCTAATAGACCTGTGCTCAGTGTTTACAAGAGCAAGGCAAATGTGTCAACACCAGAGGTTTAGCCCTATATTCTCTTAGGGTGCTTGCCCATCCCATGTTGTAAACTGTTGGAGGTGTTTAATTTGCTCACTCTTGTGCCCAAGCACTCTTGTATTAATATGCTTAATACATAGTTGAATTTTTAAAATTGTCATGTGGAATGATTTATCTACCAGGATGCTTTATCACAGCAATGGCAATAAGATCATTCAGAAAAGTTTTATCCAAGAATAATTAGACCACCTAATCATATATCTATAAGATAGACTACAATGCTTCCTTTTAAATTGTGATGTGAAAAACAATTTAATGACAGAAAATTATTCATAATACGCTTAATAGCAAATTACAAAATACAGAAATGTGCATGCACACACACACAAATACTTGAAAAGTGGGATCTCAATGTATAAAAAGTGCTTATCTCTGAGTAGTAATGTAGTGGACAATTTACATTTTCTTTCTTTGGGGAAGTGCCTTCAAAAACGTCTGTGATAAACGTATAATTCTATAATGAGAAAATAATTAGCACAGGAAGTAGAGATCTATTTAAGGTGTATTTTACACTGGAAACTGGAGAGTAGGCCTCACCTTGAGTAGCTCCTTTCCATTAGCATGGGCATTCTCTGACTGTTCTTTGATTTGCTTTTGAAGATGAAGAACTTGCCCCTCCATGTACCTAGATATTCCTTTATAGTAAATAAGTGTTATGGTTCTTCTTGGCAACAGATTTTTAGCTGCACTGGAATATATGTAAAAGTTGTCCCATTCCTGACATCTGGCATACCTGCATTACCACAAAGGAATAAGAAAAATCAGTATCACCTGTGGAATAGGCTGGTTTTCTGAAATGGCTCTCTCTGGATGTGCAGCTTCCTGTACCTGGGTCTCTGGAAGTGTGCCTCCTGCCTACCCCTGCTTCACTCTCCCTAAAAAAGCAGGAAATTAATTATGTGATGCAGAGCAAGGAAATGATAGATTTTTTTTTTTTGATGGCTTGAGATGAATAAAATCCTTGGAAACACCCAGGTAATATTAGCCACCACTGAACTCTTTGACTTTTTATATTAAAAAGTAAGGGAGATCAGACACTTGGAACTGTTGATTCTGGGACTTGAAGAAACTGCTCCAATACCGAAGAGAGATGATTTAGGACAGTACTGCTCAAAATGTGGTTCACAGACGGGCATCATCAGTATCACCTGGGTTCTCATTAATGCGGCTTCTCATTAATGCAGGTTCTCTGGTTCAGTCCAGGTATACTGAATCAGACAGGCTCTGAGGGTGAGGCATCTCCACATTAACAAGCTCTCCAGGTGATTTTTAGCCCACTAAAGTCAGCAACATTGGCCTAGAACACAGATGTTGAAAGAACTCTCCAGCTGAGATAGAAAAGAAAAAAAAATTTGGATGATTTTTGAACTTTAGATTCCTTGACCTTTAGCTCACATTGGTAAGTTATTTGATTTTGAACTTTAATTGGCAAGAGTAATTAATTTTTGGATTTTAATTTCTCCCCATTAATTTTATAATGAGGGGATTTCTGGCCAGGTGAGTGGCTCATGCCTGTAATCCCAGCATTTGGGGAGGCTGAGGTAGGATTGCCTGAGCCCAGGAGTTGGAGACCAGCCTGGGGAACATGACAAAATCCTATTTCTACAAAAAATTAAAATTAGCCAGCTGTGGTGGTATGTACCTGCAGTTGCAGCTACTCAGGAAGCTGAGGTTTTTGGGAGGATCACTTGAGCCTAGGAAGGCAAGGCTGCAGTGATCCATGATCACACTATGGCACTCCAACCTGGGTGACACAGCAAAACTGTCTCAGAAAGGAGAGAGTGGATTTCTATTCAGATTTGGGGCTGCTCTAATTTGTAGCATTTTATATAGGAATGTCTTCATATTGTCGCTTAGTTTCATCACAAACCTCTGATAGACCATATGGTTGCATATAATTTAATTAAGATAGGAAATAATAGGGGGTGATTTTCAATCTTGGGGATAGTCTTGAAAGTAATGTAATGAATGTTCTGTTTTGACCCATTTTAGAGCCTTAGCGTTCATCAAAATAGGCTTAACTGAGTTAAAAACATAATAGGTTACTTTGGGAGGCGGAGGCGGGCGGATCACGAGTTCAAGAGATCGAGACCATCCTGGCCAACACGGTGAAACCCCATCTCTACTAAAAATACAAAAAAATTAGCTGGGCGTGGTGGCACGCACCTGTGGTCCCAGCTACACGGGAGTATGAGGCGGAAGAATCGCTTGAACCCAGGAGGTGGAGGTTGCAGTGAGCCGAGATTGCGCCACTGTACTCCAGCCTGGAGACAAAGCAAGACTTCGTCTCAAAAAAAAAAAACAACAACAAAAAAAACCAACATGATAGGTTAACGGGATTAAGCCTCAGACTTAATGAGTTAATGGGGTACGTGGAGAATGCTTCTTCCTTACTCCTGAAGTTTCCTTCCATGTGAGGGGCTTCTATTTGGTGAAAAGCACGAGAACTCTTTCCCTGCTTCACTTGCCCCTTCAATGATAAGGAGAGATCTTGCTGGTGAATTGGGAGAGGAATTGGGCAAGTATAACTCTGTATCTCTCTGCATCTTGAGAGCTAGTGAAGCCAACAGGGAGTGTGATACTGATCTCTGTGCTACAAGAGCCCTGCCTCCATGTGAGTAGATCTACAGTTTTCCAGAACTGCCTGCTACTGAGCAGGTTAAGTCCGATTCTAGGGCTCAATATTAGGAAGCCCACTTACGTGCAGAAATAAGCCATGTCCTCCAACATTGGATGTATCAATCCATATGATTAGATGTGGGTGGGTGCTGGGGTGGGCAAGTGGTGCTATTCATTAGTCTTCCTCAAACCCCAGCACTCCTCCAAAGAAAGCAATCTTTTCTTATTTATCCCTGTATCGGCACAACATGATATGTTTGCGATAAATATTTATTGCATGGAATGCAATTGAGACAATCTCACTTTTCTGTCCTTGGCCAAGGGGGATGAACTAGTTGATCCCTAACACATCTTTCAGTGTAAATATCCTCTGACACCTTTAAGCTCTCTCAGGTATAAATTATGAATACTCTCTAAAATATTTTTAAAGAACTCTTCCTTGGAACTCAACATCTTCACCTTGGGAATTTAGTGATATGCAACACATTGTTACCAGAGAGCTACAGATGAATAAAGTCCCAGGAGGAGTCCACTGTGGAACTTGAGGATTCTGTTGTCTTCATATTGGTATATGAATTGCAAACATTCTTCAAATGTTCTATAAACAAAACCTAAAAGAGAGAAAAGGGTGCGAGTTGCTGGTAGGTGTGGGTGGTCATCTTTCTAGCCTAGTTGCTCTCAGTAGAATATTCCCACTGCAGGGAGAGTAGCCTCTGATCACTGTATGAATCCAAAGGTTCCCGTGGATTGCAACAACCCGACGACTGGACTGCCCTGTGTTTGCTGAGTCCCAGCTACTGGGGAGTGTTATGGATATATAATACAGTTCCACAGTACTGACCAGGCAGGTGTGGGGTTTAACTAATCCTTCCCAGCCTTAGTACAGCCTAGGACTTCTGTGTCTCCCCACACATGCTTCCCTTGTTGGTGGCAATGTCTGCATCCCCTTTCAAGATCCCGTGTGGGGAAAACAATTCCCAAGTTGGTTCCTGTGGTTTAGTATGTACACTTCAAGTGACCTACTTGATGTCACTTGAAGATTATCAGGAAATAACTTGTTTTCCAAATCACCAAGAGCTGCCAACCTGGAACTCTCACCTGAAGCAAACTAGTCCTTCATTCTAAAGCATGAAGTCTCTAAGTACATCCTGCTAAAAGTTAAAAACCCTTAGTAAGAGGCACATAGTAAGATAGTCGCTATCACCTAGGTGCAAGTTGATCTGACCGTTTAACTGGCAGCTCATACCAATCAGGTTCCTTCAGACTTAATTCTCCTTCTTGAAGTGCCTTTACAGTCTCGGCACCTGCTAGACAGTGCTTCAGTTCACACCACCAGCCTCTCTCCATCCCTGCTCTGTAAGTCCGCCCACACAGAAACCTATTGGTGCCAAAGTGCCAACCTGACAGCTGCCTCACCATACCAGCACAGGTGCCACACCCCCAAGTTCTTTTACATTCCAAACCCACACTTACCAGAATAAAGCATGATGTCCAAGCAGACAAAGTAGAAAAATGCCTTGCTCAAGATGTGTTCCTGTGTTACAGAAAGATCCCACAGACACCCCAGCACCTGGATCAATTGCTTGTATCTGTGGAAAAGAAAACATAGTGGCCACTAAAAAGCGGTAGATATTGTAATCCCAGCACTTGGGAGGCCGAGGTGAGCAGATCATGAGGTCAGGAGTTCGAGACCAGCCTGGCCAACATGGTGAAATCCTGTCTCTACTAAACTACAAAAATTAGTCAGGTGTGATGTCAGGAGCCTGTAACCCCCCTACCTGGGAGGCTGAGGTAGGAGAATCTCTTGAAACTGGAAGGTGGAGGTTGCAGTGAGCCAAGATCGCACCACTGCACTCCAGCCTGGGTGAAAGAGTGAAACTGTCTCAAAAAAAAAAAAAAAAAAAAAAAAAAAAGCAGTGGACATAATGGACTTTGGGGACTCAGCGTGGAGGGGAGGAGAGAAGTGAGAAATAAAAGACTACATATTGGGTACGTGTACACTGCTGGGGTGACAGGTGCACTAAACTCTTATAATTCACTACTATAAAATTCATCTATGTAACTGAAAACCACTTGTACTCTCAAAGCTATTGAACAGAAAAAGCAGTGGGTAGGAAGAGGTTTAGTAAGATCCCTCCCTGGTCTAGTCCTGGTCCTTCTCAGTAATTCAGAACCAAATACACCTCTTAAACAGACTTCAAATGCATCCCTACCCAAGACCAAATCCTAAATCTCAAATTGGCTCTTGTTTCAAATTGTTCTTTCCTGGGTTCTCTATATCAGGGTGACCAGAGTCAGAGCAAATTGGCCTTGGCCTCTAGACCTGGTTGCTATTCTCTGGCCATTTGCCTCCCTAGAAGACTTTTCCCTTTGTCTCCACTTGACAGAAGTGGAGGCCTGATTTCCACAGCTGGGATGACTGTCTGACTCCCCTCCACTCACTGGCCACAGCAACCAGATTAGAGATGATGCATGGGAAGGAATTCTATTAAATGAAACAAAACAAAACAAAACCAAGGCCTGGCATGGTGGCTCATGCCTGTAATCCCAGCACTTTGGGAGGCCGAGGTGGGTAGGTCACTTGAGATCAGGAGTTCAAGACCAGGGTGAAACCCCATCTCTACTAAAAAATACAAAAATTAGCTGAGGGTGGTGGCATGTGCCTATAATCTCAGCTACTCAGGAGGTTGAGGCAGGAGAATTGCTTAAACCTGAAGGCAGAGGTTGCAGTGAGCCGAGATTGAACCACTGTACTCCAGCCTGGGCAACAGAGCAAGACTCTGTCTAAAAAAAAGAAAAAAAAGGACAACTATTATCAGTTACATTTTCTTATTGCAAACTCTACTCCCTTCCCCACCCTATGGTCAGGCTAAAGTTGAACCCAGAACACTCAATAATATTGCCTCCTCCCCCTAATTTTGGAAAATGCTTTAAGATAAATACCTGCTTTTCAAAAGGAGACACTGGCTAAGTCTGCAGAGGGACAGATAGCGTCGGTTGGGATTCTGAAGCAGTGCCCACATCTGGTGGGCTCGGGTGCCTGGGAAGAAAACAATTCCAATATATTGTGGGACATTCCTTGTATCCTCATGTCTCATCTTGCCCAGCCAGCCCTTACCTAACTCAGTGGCCAAGTCCAGGTGTCCCATTATGAGCTTGTTGAAGACCAGTGTATCAGCTATGTATGCCACAATTTCAATGCCCTCGCCTTTCAGGGGGAGGTTGAAGATCTGCTCCAGGGCCATGACTTCGTATTTGAACCACACACCCTGATAGCCAGCCAGCTGGTGGTATAGCGAATAGTCTAGGTAAGCCTTAATGATCTGAAATGACAGAGTGGAGGAAGAATGAGGCAGAACACAAAGCAGAAAGCTCAGGAACATCACTCAATGTCTGCCAGTAAACATTTGTTTATTAAGCGTGAGAATAGAGCTGGACATTTGGCCAAAGCCATGGGCTTAAATACAGAAATCAAATGGGTTTTTGCTACATGTTTACTGAGTCATTCAGAATAAGCTTGATGGCCCCTTACCCATGGAGTCCTTAAATGAAATATAAAATTTTTAATTTATGTGAAAAATGAAAGCATAGCTTACATATTAGATATATAATTGCAGAGCGAAAAGCCTGTAAGGATACACTCCAAAGTATAAACAGTAGTTACCTATTTGTTGGGGGTGGGAGGAGAGATTTTACTTTATGTGTCTCTGTGATGTTTGTTATAACAAGCATATATAATTTCAGCAATTTAACAAAAAAAAGAAAGGTTGGTTTGGTTTCTTTGTCTTTTTTTTTTTTTTTTTTTTTTTTTGGAGACGGATCTCACTCTGTGTTACACACGCGGGAGCACAAGGGCAAGCCCACCGCACGGCAACCTTTTGATAGGGACTAGTTTTAAACCTAATTTGGAGGTCAAGTGCAGTGGCTCACGTCTATAATCCCAGCACTTTGGGAGGCTGAGGTGGGAGGATTGCTTGAGCTCAGGAGTGCCAGACAAGCCTGAGCACAATAGCGAGACCCTGTTTCAACAACAGCAAAAACTAGCCAGGCATAATGGCACATGCCTGTAGTCCTATCTACTCAGGAGGCTGAGACGGGAGGTCACTTGTGCACAAGAGTTTGAACCCAGTCTGGGCAATATAGTGAGACCTCATCTCAACAAAAGATTAAAAAAAAAATAGCCAGCATGGTGACACAAAACTGTAGTCCTAGCTACTTAGGAAGCTGAGGTGTTCGGGAGGATCAGTTGAGCAGGGGAGGTTGAGGCTGCACTGAGCCATGATCATGCCACTGCACTGCAGCCTGGGTGATTGAGTGACACCCTTCTCAAAAACAAACAAACAAATACATCTGATTTGGAGATTTACAAGAAACTGGTTACTCTAAACAACTCTTTAAAAAGATAAAGTTGCTACAGAATATACACGCTTAGAGAATAGTTAGGGGAAAATAGTTCCTTCTAAAGAAGCAGTTTTATTATTTATACAAAAACAACAGAATACATGTAACCTAATTTGAAAAATACAAACAGAAAAAATATAGTATCTCTAGTGGTGGGAGTGTTGGGGTAGGGGAAGTATTTTAGAGTAGAGGTTTTTTGCTGGAATTCCTCAAATGGGACGAAGTAAGCAGCCTACAAATTCTGTGTTACAGGCAGGTCCCTGGATATTTAAAACTGCAGTCAGTCTGAGAGAATTCCTTTCTTCCTTATTTGAAATATGCCCCAGATAATGCTACCAGAAGGTAAGGATAGCCAGAAGTGGTGGTGGGGGAGAGGGAATTGTTGGGCACATAAGAAATCCAAGACTGTAATAAAGCCTAGGACGTCTTGGATTTGGACCGAGAGAATAGAGGTCCAACTGGTTCACTTTACAGAGAAAATATAAAGCTCCATGTTTATGCAGCTTGCCAGTGGTCACAATGCAGATAGGCGGAGTCCTGAAAACCATTCTCTGGCTCTGTCTCGGCCTCTCCCTTCTCCTATGCTTGAGTCCCTCATCTGCTTTTGAGTGCTGAGGGGAGTGCTTCTCTGTTTTCAATCCCAGCCACCTTGATGACGAACGTCTTGGTTCACTTTCTAGCCTGACTTTTTATTTTTTCCACCCCAAGTCTACTACAGTTCTTAGGCTATAGCTCCATGTGTGGAGAAGTATTTCAGCCAATATAAATTTCTTGAGCAACCACAATTGTTCTAGAAACTTAGGATGTGAACAAGACAACTGAAGAGGACCTTGCTCCCATGGGATTTACACGCTGCTAAGGGAGACAGACCAAAAGCTAATGCAGGAGCAAACAAGAAATTGTCGAATGGCAATAATACCTATTAAAACAGAGTGACAAGTTAGCAAGTGAATGGGTGGCCATGCCCAGTAAAGATCGGAGGATGAGCACTCTGGGCAGAGGGAACAGCCAGGGACAGATGGGATTAAATTTCTGTGTTTGAGGAACCAAAAGAGGACCAATATGGCTGGGCCTGTGACTCCTTCATGGCCTATGGAGTTAGGAGCAGAGGATGGGAAGTGAGCAGGGGTCAATCTTGATGGAAGTATCCTAGGAGAGCCAGCCTAAGTCCACCAAAAGGGACTAATGCAGAGGACAGACTCCCAGTTAGGAATTTAAGCTCCTCCGACATTAACAGTGCTACCTGACTCCTTCCCTTCCTTCTTGACAATGAATGACTCCAGGAGGAAGAAACCCAGACTTAATGTACTTTTATAATGGAGCAAGGCTGTTCACATTAGATGAGTTGGATTTAGCTTAATAATTTCTTGATCATGTCTCCTGATACCTTCTTCATCCAATCAAAGGCTTTCCTATTTCTGACCTAGAATAGTGGTTCTCCCAATTCATCTTGGGATCCCTAAGAATCCCTGACACCTTTTCAGGGAACATATAAGGTCAAAGCTAGTTTCATAGCATCCACACATTACTTGTGACAGGAAAAATAGTGAGACCTTAAAATGGGCCAAAACACAAATTTAGAAGGGTTCCTACCTCACTTACTAATCAAAGTTATCTCTACTTTTCTTTGGACTATCTTACAACTATGTTGCAAAAATCTAATAATAATATAAGTGATATGATTTGTTTTTCATAGAAATGTAAATACTCAGTGGAATACAAGTGATTATTACCCTGTTACTAGACAAGTTTTGTATCCTTCATAAATTGGATTCGCCGTGGAACCACTTGGTTCCAATCTTAACTAATTTTGATTGAGTCAACTCAGTGAGTTAAACAAAATCTTTAATGTGTACTTTCCGTATTTGTTATGATTTATAATTCTATCTTTTTAAAAAAGAATGTATATTCATTCTCTCATGAATATATAGTAGAGTCTTCCAGAGGCAACATATGTGATATTGCAGCAGTGAAAGTAGAAGCAGATATGAGAATCTAGTTGTCTTCTAGAAGCCAGACATTAAGATAATACAATGCCATATTTCCCATTAGGTTTTTTTGTTTGGGGAACAGAGTTTTAAAAAATGAAAATGGTAATTATGTTAATATGTAATAGGCTTGTTATCTTTATTTTAAAATAATATTTTAGGCCAGGTGCGGTGGCTCATGCCTGTAATCCCAGCACTTTGGGAGGCTGAAGTGGGGCAGATCACTTGAGGTCAGGAGTTCAAGACCAGCCTGACCAACATGGCGAAACCTCATCTCTACTAAAAATACAAAAATTAGCTGGGTGTGGTGGCACTTGCCTATAGTCCCAGCTACTCAGGAGGTTGAGGCAAGAGAATTGCTTGAACCCGGGAAGTGGAGGTTGCAGTGAGCCGAGATCACAACACTGCACTCCACCCTGGGTGACAGAGTGAGATTCCATCTCAAAACAAACAAACAAAAAATAATATTTTAGAATTTTCTCAGTTTTTGTTTCTTATATGATATCAATAAATTCAACTCATATAAATAAAAGCCATTTGGGATCCTCAATAATTTTTAACAGTGTGAAGTGATCCAGAAACCAAAGTGTTTGAGAACTGCTGGCCTTGTCAAAACAAGCCAGTCAGAAAGCCTTCTGTTATATCCTCAGAATTCTGAATCCCAATTGGCTTTCACTAGGCTTTTCTTCCCAAATGAAATTCAGAAACTTAAAGGAGCAGCTACAAAAATCCCCTACCTGGAAATTATTTTGAGTTTCCAGTGCAGTATTCATTTGCATCATAACTGCCAGGTAGGCATAATACTTGCTGTGAAAAAAATAATTTAAGCTATAGATGCGCCACAGCAAGGAGAGGCAGACAGTTTGCCGGTAAAGTTGTGCCAGCCTCTTCTTCCTATTGGATAAAGTAAACACAAATGGAACATAGAAGTTATCATCATCATGCTGTAGGGGAGCACAGGTATGCAGTGTCCTCACTGTGGCCCTGGCAATCAAAACCGACTTGAATCTGAGGCCTGCCTCCATGACTGACAAATAAGCACATTTTCTCCATTGTAAAATGGGACTCATGATACCTACTCTACAATGATTAATTTATGTAAAGTATCTGGCCCCTGTCAGGTAATTGCTAATTAAATAAAGCTATTTAAAAAGCACACTAGCCGGGCGCGGTGGCTCACGCCTGTAATCCCAGCACTTTGGGAGGCCGAGGCGGGTGGATCACGAGGTCAAGAGATCAAGACCATCCTGGTAAACATGGTGAAACCCCGTCTCTACTAAAAATACAAAAAACCAGCTGGGCATGGTGGTGCGTGCCTGTAATCCCAGCTACTCAGGAGGCTGAGGCAGGAGAATTGCCTGAACCCAGGAGGCTGAGGTTGTGGTGAGCCGAGATC